AACCAGGGAGCCAATCGAGACCTACGTCGGGTCAGAGGCCGCAAAGGCACGACCCGGTCCAATGCTGCGGCGGCAGTTGTCTCCCACGCCGCCGCCTGATTTTCCGCCGAGTCGTGGACTAGATCCTCCGGATATGGCCCAAGCTCCGTCAGGAACCTCTCAGGGTCCATCAGTCGCCTGGGACGGAACCCTCTAGGTGTGCTGTCTTAAGACAACTGGTCGATTGAACATTTACCAAAACCTCATAGAAATTCCTCAAGTCACGATGAATATTGAAATAAAAAAGTATTCACATTTATTGAAAGTACTTTGCTATATTTAGGATAAGTGATCTATTCATCTTTCTCTTCTCTGATATAATTATTGGAATGTAGAAAGATACATTTAATTATTCAGTAATCTGTTTATGCAGGTATTAGTCTGATACATTTTAAACTGTCAGAGGTCTATAGATAGATTTGGAAAAAATATGGTTTAAATATTCATATAAATGCTACATGTAATGAGTGTAAAGTAATATCTAAATGAGTTTCTGTCTTCCCTCCCTACTCCACTCCATCCTTAATTAGTTTGAAGAAGGAGAGGAAGGAGAAGAAGAGGTGAGTATATTCTGATTTAATATTTTTTCTTGAGTGGAATACATAATAAATATTGTAGACTGAATAATCAAGGAGACAGACTCATTTTAGAACAGGGATCTGAGGTCTTAACATTAAACTTAATTTTTGTGTTTTGTATTTGTATATATATTGACCAAGATGTAATACCTCAGTATCAAAGTCAGCAATAACAAATTGGCTATTGTGTGTATATTTAAAAGACAGTATACTTCAAAGGGCATTAAAATAAAAAATGTGCTGATTTTCAAGAATTCTAGCTCTGTAATCCACCTAAATGATGCCATTAACTTATCATAAAGACTATATTCCTTTCTCTGAAAAGACAGGAAAATCCAATAGATAATAGATGCATTTAATATTACAAAGCAGTGGACTCATGTTTCTGGCCTTTGTGATTAATAAGAGTCAGCAATAAAAAAATTGATGAAACAATGTGCACAATGATGTCAAAAAAAGCATAATGATCCTAGTCCTTTCCTTTTAAATCTAGGAATTAGAAGGAGAAGAAGAAGGAGAAGAGGAAGAAGATGCAGAAAGTGAACCTAAGGTTAGCTCTGTTTAAGTACTTACATTAAGCCAAAATTATAAATTGCACCACATACCACATCAGTTCTACTAATTCTCAAGTTAACAATTTCTTTGTTCATTATTTATTCATTCGAATGAATACATTCTTACTTTTTCCTTGTTAGTGCTAAGCTAATACTAATTCATTTCATTTTCTTTAACCTAACATAGATTAATAGTTCTATAACATGGCATACATTATAAATAGCACATTCTGTTTATCTTGCATACATATATTTATATAAACTTAGAAGTATATTTTAGCATACGCCTGCTTATTTAAAAGGTTTGCATATTTGAAATATATTTGTCCATTTTATGCCCATTTGTTTTTGTGTTTCTTTTCTTTTTCTTTCTAAAATACCAAAATTTACTTTATTCATTTCATTTTTCCTACATGCCTAAGAGAAGGAATTCTTAAGTTTGCACATTACACTTGATAAATTCCACAGATACATTTACAGCAGGGGTGTCAAACTGCCGGCCTGCAGGCCAGATGTGTCATGCCGAAACCGCACCCACCCCATTGCCAGCAATGGGAAAAAAGTCACGATACATCGCGACACGTCATGTGACGTTGCGAGTTTGACACCCCTGATTTACAGGGAGACTTATAGTGGTCTAATTGTTATGTGGTATTCCTATGTGATCTTTTTCTCTTGAATGAAAATTTTAGTCATGTAGGTAGGATGAAATAATTCATGAAATGCTTCTCCCTTTCCTCCCTTTTCATTCCCTGCCCCAGACTTATTTTTAAAATTACAGCATGGAAAGAATCCTTCTTGTCATCAGTTCTCAAACTAGTTTTACCTACACTGATAGCTGGTTATCTGCAATACATTGACCAGAGATCTATATTAAAATAAAAGTAATATACACAAATGTTTACATGTGAAAATTGGATTTGAATTTTGAACATTGTACATGTTGACTTGAACATATAACCTGTACACTTGGCACAATTATACACATGGCTTAAATATAATGTTTCTTATGGTTATTATATAACTATTACAGTAATAACGTGATAGTTACTGAATTGAAAATGAAATGCATTGCAGGCAAGTGTTAACTTCTTTGGCTACAAAAAAATGGAAAATATGCTTATTATTTCTGTGAATGATTGTATGTGACAAATTGTTTCTTGTGCCTTCTGGAATACTAGTTACTGCTTTTTACTTTTGTTTATTTGGGTCCATTTCACCTTTCTTTTATGCTGACAGTTCGTTTCAATTTTTCCCCATTTAGGTGTAATTTAACTCTGTTTATCATTCATTCATTCATTTATAGGTAAGGTTGAATTCCATTAATACATAACTTCCAAGGCTTCCCTTTTTTTTTGTAACCCATGCAAATCTCATTCATTTAAGTACCTAATTTATTTAATTCACCTATTCTATAGAAAGAAATGGTACTTTATCAAGATAGTGTATAATTAAGTCCACAAGAACTTGGTTAATGTTGAGAAAAATACATAAAATAGACGTGACTCTTAAGTTGTAGATAATGACCATTTTGAGGGGAAATTGATATTTATTTAGCTATGTGTTCTCAAATGTCCAGATACAATCTAAAAGAAATGTTCCAGCCTAACTACTTAGTATTCAAATAATATTCAGTTACTGCTTTCCTTACTCTTACACCAGATATTCCCTATTTATCCTCAGTAAAGGGTACATCCCAGTGGCTAAACGATGTTACTTTTTTGGGGGGGGGTTCCCAAAATTGCCTTAATATGGATTATTGTACTGTAGAGCTAATTTTATAGATAGCTTTTCTGTCTTTGCTTTTTTTTGGATATTTTGAATAAAAGTCTTGCTTCTGAGAAGCTACTACACATGATTGATCAATGTTCTATGACCTGCATAGGAAACATTTCTAATAGTAGAAATGTCAGGTTTTGTGTACACTCAATGCTAAGGAAATATAAGAGAAAATAGGAATTATAGTAATCCTTCTCTGAATAAAATATTCAATCATTTGGAAAACAGCATTGCATATTACAGGTAGTCCTCGATATACAACCACAATTGAGCCCAAAATTTCAGTTACAAAGTGAGCTTTGCCTCATTTTACAATCTTGCCACAGCTGTTAAGTGAATCACTGCAGTTGTTAAGTTGGTAACATGGTTGTAAAGTGAATCTGGCTTTCCCATTAACTTTGCTTGTCAGAAGGTAGAAAAAGATGATTACGTGACCCTGGGGCACTGCAATCATCATAAATGTATGCCAGTTACCAAACATTTGAAATTTGATCACATGATCATGGGGATGCTGCAATGGTTGTAAGTGTGAAAAATGGTCATAAGTCACTTTTTCAGTGCTGTTGTAACATTGAATGGTCACTAAATCAATGGTTGTAAGTCGAGGATCACCTGTACTTGCCCTTTTCATTACCCCCAGACTTATGGTCTTGGGGGATTTCAACCTGCCATCAGTGGGGGAGACGTCAGCGGCAGCTCAGGAGTTCTTGGCTTCCATGACGGCCTTGGACTTGACCCAATTAATACAGGCCCCCACTCACACGGGTGGACACACGCTGGATCTGATTTTTGTCTCAGGCCAGTGGCAGAATGATCTGGCATTAGGGGAGA